ACATCTGAACTAATAACCAAAATTACAGGTAAAATATATATTTCTATCCATAAGTTAATGCTTCTTTTAAACCATGTTCTCACCGTTTTTTTTTTTTTTTTTTTTGTCATCTGAGTGCTTTTACTGACAACACTTGAAACGCGATAACAGATGTTTTCATTTATGTCAAATTTTGGCAGCACAGCTTGTTACCGGTAGGTTGCGAAAGGTTTGGTGGTGCGAAATGATTACTGGGGAAACTCACTCCAGCAGTGAGTTTCCCCAGTAATAAAGTAGCGCACAAATGCGCTACTTTGTTATTTAAAACAAATATATCTTTAGGTTGTCTGCTTGATCAGCAAACTCTACAAGGTGTGACGTTCCTCACGGGAAAACACAAAAAAAATTTGAATGTTGGTTTTGACATCACCTTAATTTGCCGTTTTTGCAATAATAAACAGCTTTTCGGCAAGCGTATTTCTAATACGCAAAGGCATAGCCTCCTCTATACACACAGAGCCTGGCAGTTCGACGACGGAGCTGAAGAGTGCCCGGTCGCAGATGTGGAGCGCGAAGATCAGGTAGCACAGAGCATTTCTCCAGGATCTGGTCGTCAGCGCACAGCATTTGCAGCGGCCAGGACCCGAAACATGGTTTTCAAGCCCGACGAGAAAAGAAGTGGTAGCGCGAGGAACGCGAGGAGCACGAGCGGACATTCCACCGCTTGCGAGAAGTGTCGTTTCGGCGTCTCGCCGCAGCGGAACGCCCGTCACGTGGCTCTCCTCTCATCGGTTGTCTGCCGCCCTACCATTTCACTTTCGGCGGCCGCGTCTCGTGGCGATCTGCCAGGCACCAACGGCGCGCGCGCTGGCGCATGTCGTCCTGGCTGCCGGAAAAATGCTCCTCCCATCGCCGGAAATGATCCCTCGGTGTGTTCAATCTTTGAATGTTTTTTTTTTTTTTTTTAAAATCAGCCACGCATTGTTTTGATTTAGAAATTTCTAGGATGCTTAGGCTCGCAGAGTGAGTTATCGCCATATTTAGGCGATCTCAGAAACCTCCTCAGGGCAGCTTTAAGTCCAGACACAGTCGACGCTACAAGCTGATGAGAATATTCAAACAGTGTCAAAAAGCGCACCATCAAGGTGTTCGTCATGTTTCCGTACGTGTTCTATCCTTCCTGAACCAATCATAAACAGAAAAGGCCCATTGAATCGCTTTTTTGACGCTGCTTGTTTAGTCCGATTTGCTCGCACTGTTGGCTTCGTCTGGACTTAAAGGGGTCATGAAACAATATCGGTTAAAATGTTCATGACTTTGCAGAGGCCTGCCGGTCCTAGTCTGGCCCAAGTATTCTTGCACAGACCGCCACTTATTCAGAAGCTTATTTGTCGCGGTGAAATTGCAACTTGCAATCTCGCTTTCGCAAAGCTTGATGACGTAGTTGTAGTATCGAAACCACCCGCCTGACGACAGTCGAGCGCGACTCATGAATTGGACACGAGAACTACGTGAGCACTCGATTTCGGCTCGTAACACTCTATGCCTCGGCGGACATTCAAAGGGTGGCTGTCCAACCACTGCGGTGATGAGAATAGCCGAAGTCCAACAATGTCTGGTGCTCAGCACACGTTTTTTACTTTGCTAACCCATAGCCTCCAATATACTGACAAAGCCTGGCAGATGGCCACAAAAAGCGGCCACCGAAATGGAAAAGGTGGAGTGGCAGACAACGCATGAGAGGAGAGCCACGTGACTGGCGCCCCGCTGTGGCGAGACGCCGAAACACACTTCTCCCGAGAGAACAAGTGTGTTTCGGGTCCTCGCCGCTGCACAAGCTGTGCGCTGACGGCCAGGTTCCTCCCTACGGGAGCCAGAGTTGCGCGTTCGTCTCCGTAGCGCCATCTTTCCTGCACGGCATGTTGATCCCGCTCATCACGTGACTGAATTGGGCGAATAGCGGCGCCGCGCGTTCGAGGCGCGCGGCACGCTCAAAAGCAGGGGAACGTACGCCGGGGCGCGTGCAACGTCTATTTTCCGGCACGGCACTTGATCCGGCTCCCCACGTGATCGGATCTCGGCGAATAGCGGCGCGGCGGCACGTGGAGAACAAACGCGCAACTCTGGCTCCCGCAGGGGGCGTATACAAGAATTCTAGGTTCCCCCAGAACCATATCCCGAGAAGTCGCTCTTTGATGCTCTGTGCTACCAGATCCTCGCGCTCCAAATCTGCGACCGGGCACTCTATGGATCGTAAAACAGTTTGTTGTTGGACGAGTTGGTGAACGTTTGGATACATGGTCTTGCGCAAAAAAGACGGACACAAGAGAGAGAAACAAACGCCAGCGATACTTACAACTGTATGGAGGAAACCTTTAGAAAACATACAGATATATCGTCAATTTCAATGCGTCCACGCATGCGTCGTGGCACTATCACACGCTCGTCACAAAAACTTATCAAGGAAGCGTTTTACAGCATTATACAAACTTATCGAGGTATCGCTCACACATAGGTCGCCTTTCTTTTCGATAAAGAAGGCTTTCAACAGCTCACGTGCTTTTTGTCCCTTACTTCCACCCAAAATTGCAGTGTCAGAAAAACGTGGCTCACACTTACAGTTCCACAGTGCGCAGGCAAATGTGCCCCGTCATTAGTCTTTAAATTTTGAGCATGCTCCCTGAGACGGTCGTTGGCACACCTTCCCGTTTGCCCCACGTATGTCTTCCCACACGTGAGCAGGATTTCATAGACGACTTCTGTTTTGCAGCCAACAAACGGCCTGGCATGCTTTGTGCTGAATTCTCGCTTCTGTCTGCTTTCTCCAGTAATGCGGGGGCAGAGTTGGCCGAGTTTTGTCGGAGCTGTAAACACAATTGGCACCCCAAGTCTGTTCGCAACCTTCTTGAGGTTATGCGAGAGTTTGTGCACGTATGGTACCGCTTCAGGCCTCACATTCCACATGGCGAATTCCACAGGTCGTTTTGGAGCGCGCCGGGATCGACGTTTCTGGAGCGAGCCTATTTCACTTGGCGATCGGGATCGAGACCGACGTGTTTCACTGGTCGTTTTGGATTAGCTCCCGCTCCAGATCTAGATCTGGATCCGAGAAAAGTCGCTCCGACGATTTCGGGGGATTCAACCGGACGCCAGCCGGGCCAGCCCTCGGCGCACACACGTGACTTACTTTCTCGTGGGGCATCTCGCCTGATCTCGCCCATCTCGCCTCAGAAGAAGAAGAAGCACGTCGCGGGCTGGGCTCCTAGATTGTCTTGACATCAGAAGAATTCGTAATGGCCGCTTGCTTACCCCTTGGCTCGACAGCCGGTTCGTTTTACAGGAAGGAGAAGAGAAGGTATTTGCCGCGCTACGGGCATTCTGGCAATCTTTGCTAGAAGCGCCTGAGCCGTCCCTGCCGCTCGTGCGTCGAACATGTGTTAACGCCGCGATTGTGAAAACGTCTTCGAATCGGTCGCGGCGGCCGCGGAAAGGGGATTCCCGGGCCGTTGAATGACGGGAAGGCATCCGCCGATCTCGGAGCAGTGGTCATGTTCCACGGGGGATCCGAAGGCGGCGCGACCCCGTTCGGATCGTGTGCTCCAGTCCGGATCTGGTCGACCGATCCCGGCGCGCTCCAAAACGCCCAGTGGAATTCGCCATCAGTGTTGCTTTGAGTGTGCCCCAAGGACAAGGACAAGGAAGGTGTGCCAACGACCGTCTTAGTGAGCATGCTCCAAATTTAAAGACTAATGACGGGGCACATTTGCCTGGACACTGTAGAAACTGTAAGTGTGAGCCACGTTTTTCTGACACTGCAATTTTGGGTGGAAGTAAGGGACAAAAAGCACGTGAGCTGTTGGAAGCCTTCTTTATCGAAAAGAAAGGCGACCTATGTGTGAGCGATACCTCGATAGGTTTGTATAATGCTGAAAAACGCTTCCTTGATAAGTTTTTGTGACGAGCGTGTGATAGTGACACGACGCATGCGTGGACGCATTGAAGTTGACGATATATCTGTATGTTTTCTAAAGGTTTCCTCAATACAGTTGTAAGTTGCACTCGTGTTTGTTTCTCTCTCTTGTGTCCGTCTTTTTTGCGCAAAACCATGTATCCAAACTCTATGGATCCGTCATCGAACTGCCAGGCTTTGTAAGTATAGAGGAGGCTGTGGCTAACCCCCGGCGCGTGGCTATAGTTATTGTTGGTAGCACAGGATAGGAACCAGGCCACGTGGCAGCTTATTCTGGCTGCCAGTTGAGAGGATGAAAGATGCTCATATTTTTCGATTATTTTTAACGAATTCCATTGAGTAGAAAAAAATCTATGGCAAGTCTGTTCGAGTATTAACGTTAAGGAGAGACTCTAAGTAGTATGTAGCGCAAGTCAAAAATCGTTTAATGGCTCCTTTAAGCTGAACGAAGTATAAAAATTTAAATAAACAAAGAAATGCAGCTTGCATTATTAGTGTCCTATCAAAACGGTACGAAAATTTTCTTGTAGTTTTTTTGTTCTTGTTATTTTTTTAATAAATTTATATCCAACAATAAAATTTTGTAGGCTTAGATTTTACTAGCAACGTAAAAAAAAGTGCAATGACAGAGGGGGATCGGTGGCTGAGTAGACTAGCGCACACGAGCTCGGAGCACGTGGAGCGAAAGCTCGCGCTGCAGAACTCAGGGATCCCGGGTTGAATTCCCACCCCTGCCCGTTTAGATCTGAATGAGCATCGTACCGGCGTGTGGTCGTGTAACACTACTGCGCTTTGCGCGTCAAAGACCCCATGGCTAGCGGTTGTACTACACTGGCTAAATCGCTCATCTACAGCGAGTGACTCGTCGCAACTTCGAAATGGGTGACCAACATACCCGCTGTATAAATAAATATCCACACAACCCCAATTATTGAGCTGTTTTCCCAAGTTTATTCAAGAGGCGATAGATTAATTCGTCCCTCGCTGAAGTTCTCTTGCAGACAAACAGTAGCTGCGCTGCCGCTCTGTTCTTTTTTTTTTTTTCTCGTTCTAGGCATTGTGATTGGTCGTAGCGGTCGCGTGGACCATTGTGCCCGCTCATCTCTCGGACATGCCATACTCGAGGATGTCGACGGCGCTCCCGAACTGGTCCGTGGGCACGCCTCCAGAACAGGAGCTGTCCTTCGTGCAGCCGTCTGGAAAGAGGAAGAGATCTTCCATGCCCAAAACCGCAATTCGGCTGAAATTCTCTCGTCGAAAAAACCACGAAATAAGTTGCGCTTGAGAGTGACGATATTTGTCAATCTTGCTAATTAGAATCAATGTTGCGAGCCATCTGAAGGTTTATTTGAAATCGAAAAATAGGCTTTTCCATCCTCCAGAAATGTTTAGAAAGACTACGATAGAGAACACAACAACGTCGCCTGAGCTTCCTGACAGCGTTCTTGAAGCTCAAGAAGCATGTATATTTTGAGTTGACAAAAAAAGACCAAATTTAATTCGTATAGTTCACTCCCACAGTAAACGGCGTACCCCAAAAATTACAGGGTCTTCTGCACCGGAAAAAATAAACTATATGCCTCACCTAACGCTTGTTCGTCGCCACCGTGTTCGCCGCCCAGTAGCTCTAGCGATCAGTACCTGAAGCCAACGTTTCAGAACTAGCCGTTATCTTATTTAAAATATGTAAGTGATTTTTTAAAGTTTCAATGGGAAAATTAGGTAAATTTTAGCCCGTTTTTCGTAACTGGTGCCGTAGACGTTCATGTATTTCAAAACTCTGTCGGCCACCTTTTTCCCCATGGAAAACTTCAGAAAATCGTTTATAAGTGTTGAATAAGATAGTGGGTAATGCTGGAAACTTAGGCATCTGGTTCGGACTGCTAGCGCTGCCTTTGGGCTGAAAATGGGCGTTCGGCGACGCATAAATTACTTTTTTCTGAAACAAAAGAAGAAAACTGCAAATTTATTTCGGACACTTTGCACATAAGGGGGGTACGGTGGTTTGGAAAACAGCTGCAATAGTGAAGCTCGACACTGTCCCCTGCATGCCTCCTACATCTGGAAGCTTGAAAGGACAAGATATAAGTGACCAAAATATTATAAAAAAATAACAAGTTTTAACGCGGATATTAGTCTTAGGAAAAAAATAGATAGAGCATTTCTGAAGCGCTCCAGAATTCTCCAGACAACCGGGAAAAGGAGACACCATGAAACAAATGTAAGGGCGCAAACGAGCTGGTGTACGTTAAACGAATTCAGAAACTCCGAGATTCCAGTTAAAGACACAACACTCCAAGTTGCTGAGACAAAAAAAAAAGGTCGAGTCACTGGGCTGGAACGCATGTGCGGTGTCTGATATTCTGCACAAGAGGGCTTTCCTGTGCACGCTGAGAAAGCGTTTAACAGCCCAGGGGACAAAGATGGCAGTGTGCACGAGGCGGCCATCGGAGGGAACTATGAGCCTTCTCAGCGATTGTCGCCCACTTGCAAAACACTGACAGCCGTATTTACGAGTGGTCACTATCTAGCGCTGTTTTAAAATTCAGTAGCGCGTCGAAGTAGTCGTGAGCCTAGCGGAGAATCAGCGACTAAGGAGGGACTAGAGTCTGTGGTACTCATGAGCGCGAAGCAAGCGGAAGTGACATAAAAAGATAGGTCACGCATACGCGTACCTAAACGCCATTGCGTAAATGTGGAATTAATCGTGTAAAAACGGACATATAAATATTTAATAAAAAATAAAATGTTACATAAAGAGAGTGATTGTCCGGAACAAAGTTTTACAATGAAAAAAAAACAAAACGCAATGGGGAAAACACGGAAGCCGCAGTGCCGGCGACATAAACAATACGAGAGCGCAGGTCAACGTTACTATAGAACCACACAGCTGGCAAACTGCCATAGAGACTGCTCAGAAAAAGTGACCCCAATCTGTCCACCAGAACCGAGCTAATGGCGAATACAACGCCGCCATCTCTCCCGCAGCGGCCACTCGAGGAACCGCACATGACATCCGTTTTGGCTTCAATCGGCCATTTTTGTGCCGAAACAGATACAGCGGAAGAGGTTACAGGGGTACCACCCCCGCCTCCCCAGCGGACGCACCGCGAATTCCTATCGAAGTTAAAATGCACCTAGGTGGGGAGGCGCTACCTGAAAGGACCGCTAAGGCATGGTTGTATAAAAACAATATTAATTGTTCCGCAAAACCTTGCAAACTAAAGATTATAAAAACATCACGCGCCCTTCATTTTGTACTAAATTCCAACAAATTTCATACAAAAAGAGTCTTTTCCGTTTGTTTTTACGCCAAAACATGCTGTCTAAAGGCTCAATGTGACCACAATACAGACAAATGATAAAGAGTGGCGCTGTGGTCGTATTTAGCTCGGTCTCGGTGGACGCCAGCGGCCCAGGATTCGACGGCGAGTTTCCCAACTGAGTGTTTTAGTAACGTTGGCGCAGGTCAATGCGGTCTTTCTCATCGTCCAACGCCCTGCTGAGGTCGCTTCGACGGTACCTCTGACCTTTGAACATGTCGATTTTCACAATAGTTGTCACTCCGATTCTTCCTAGAAATTTTCCTCCAGCGTTCCGAGACAGAAAGTGCTTCGTTAGTGCTGGCGGTCGGCGGTGAGGAGTCGGCCATGTCCTGAGCCTCTACTCACCCGTTAAACACCAGCTAAATTATAGCCGCGCACCCCCTGACAAAGATATTTTAGTCGTCTCCTAAGTTTCGCGGGGCAACTACGCCCCAAACATGGTCGGTGAATGCCAAGTGCTTACTTAGCTGTGATTGCGACCGGCCACGTGATCATTTTAACCGATGACGTGGTTCGTCAGCTCGCGTCTCCATGGTGAATACGACTGTGAGTCGCTGGCCGCGGTCGCTCGCGCGGCGCCTGATATTCTGCTAAAAACAGGTATACTGCAGTTGCTCAGAAAGCGTTTCACAGTTTAGTAGTCACAGCTAGCATGCCGCAGAAGGAGAGTTCGACTCTCTCTGATATTCAGTGCTATCTGGTGGCTTAAATAAAAGCTTAACTTTTGCTTTCCCAATAACGGCTATTAGCCTGCAGTCTGCATACGTAGAGTCACTGAATTTTCCCAGAGTGCCGAAACTCCCAAGCTTCTCTTCAGAACCGAGTCGCGGCGCAGCAGTCGCAATCCCCAACATGGCGCTGCCCCGTGCGATCGAAGCGAAGCGCGTACAGTGTAGCGTTCGTTCTCGTGTCAGCTCTTCAATCCACGTTCCTGGCCTGTGGCGACACTGGTTTATTTTTGTTAAAGCTCTTTCCTTCGCTCCGAGCGGTGCGTGAGTTGCTCCTCGCTGTCTCGTCTCTCTCTCTCTCTCTCGTTTCGAAACACATCGAGCTCGAGTGTTAGGATTACCGTCTGAGGCGTGGAGTTCGAAACGCAGCACCAGCGCAATCGGAGCAAGCAAACGAGCCGGCATTTTCTTTGGAGAACCAAATTAGCGGCTACTTGATATAAAAACAATCGAGAGAAAATCAATGCACTTTTCGTTCGGTCCTAACTCAACGATCCCCAGATCTCCCACCGTGCGTACCCTACATAGCCGTAAAGCGGAAACGTTTTATATACGTGTTTTGTTGTTAGGGGCCTGTCTCCAAAATGGCCGACTGATGACTTCCACCACGGGTTAAACCAGCCAATCAAAACTGGATTCTGTGGGGATTGACTTCCGGTAAGCGGACGGAATGGAATTCGGTACTAACATTCAGTGACTCTTTAGTTTGTAGACCACGTTCGGAAATGGTCACTTTCACAAGTCAACAACGGACGGGATTGGGCCTTTTACGATATACTTCTTTCAGAATACTAATCATGATGTTCAAATCCTGAGACAGGGAAGGAAAAGATGAAGGGACAGAAAAAAGTGGAAAGAGAGCGTGTCTTCTGCATACGAAGTGCATGCAGAGTACACACAGAGTGCATAGGGAGCGCAAACCAACGTGGACTCCATGTTTACGTTGACCATGGCGTCATTCTGCTCCATCAACAGACTGACCTAGCCGAGGTCTGATCTGAACGACTAGAAAGCTCTTGATCGACCCTTTTCGAAATTCAGTCTGGCCACATTGATCGCTATCATCATCCGAAAAAATGGCATATGTGCTATACTAATGACGGCCTTCTGTTTACTGATGAAGAAAAAAGTTGAAGATGCTCCTGAGCAGATGATTCGAGGACTATACATTCGAGACGTTAGCGTGATGCGAAGCAAGAATTGGATCCAAGAGCTGCAAAAACGTTCATTTCTAACACGGGCCCAGTCAATCTGTTAGTAGCACACAATCGCCTTCAAAGCCCTTGATGTAAAGAACTTCATCAAGGCGTCTATGTGGGTTGGCGCTTCGGTCTGACTGGTTGCATCTTTTTTGGCATCGACACTGAAAGTGATTGAGAAAGAACCGTACAGTGAAGCATAGAATTCTGGTTTCCGGTTTACTTGCGAAATTGACGGTGCCCGCTAAACCACTGCAGAGACAAGTTCATTGCAACACACATAGATACATACATAGTACGGTAAAAGCTTAATGTATGGTTAAGACAGTTGCGTTAGACTGCGTTTGACTGCGTTGCGACTGCGAGAAACCAGAACATCTCTGCTGCTTATATCGCGTGCCAAGATGATTCCTTGAATTGGATTCCACGCTTCATACGATGCACAGATGAACCGGTGGCTAGCTTTCGGTTCTCGACGAAACGCAGTCAAACGTACTCAAACGCAAGTGTCTGAACCGGCCTTAACTGCCACCGTAATTACGTCTCGAATGTGTAGACTTTTAAAATTGGGTTCCTGGCTTAACCTCGGACTGCGCGCCGAGATGAAGCGCGCCAAGCTACTCTCCCAGGAATTTCACTGCTTGTCGTATAATGTTGCCATATCGCTGCGTGGAGACAGGCGTTCGAACGGGAGAATAGCCAGTCTTTTTAGGGACCATAGCAGCGCCAACATCTTTCGCTGCCAAGTGCCCTAACGTCACAAAACTCCTTATGACTACTATGTTTCCCTGCTTGATCTACATTCGCATACCCAAATGGCGTGCTCCTAGCACGCCCCACCATGGGGAAAGCGTTAGGAGGCGCCTGCATCGCTCAAAATCGTAGCGCACGGGAGCCTCTCGCAGAAGTGTGGCATCGCGTACTCTAGCCTCGCATCGTCCACCGAAGCATCTTTCACTTCTTCCTTCCCCAGTAACCACACAGCTACCGGTAGTATACGGCGCGTACAGTCGGGAGCAAAAGTTTGCGGGGCACGGGAGCGCGTGCCGAAATGCATCGCAGCGCCGTCCGACGGCGCGCCGCCGCATTAAGGAGACGCGCTTTGCGCATGCCCGTCTTTCGTGCTAGCAATCATGTCTCCTTCGCTCGTTTCTTTTCGACGCACTCCTGATAACAGGAGTCGGCGCCAGGGGCGCGAGTTAGCGCTTCGCTGGGTGTCATGCTCTGAGTCTGCTTCAGCCGCCTCAGCCACCGCGCTGTCATGGAGCTCGCGTAGGGGGAAGAGGGGGGGGGGGGGGGGGGGGGGTAACCTGGCGCTCTGTCACGCAGCGCGGCTGCTGAGGCAGTTGAAGACGACGCGAGGCATGACAGCCAGCGAAACGGCAACTTGCGCCCCTGGCGCCGACTCCGGTTATCAGGAGTGAGTCGGATAGAAACGGGCGAAAGAGACATGACTGCCAGCACGAAGGGCGCGCATGCTCAAAGCGGGGCTTTTTAATGCGGCGGAGCGCCGTTGCACGGCGCGGCGATGCGTTTCGGCACGCGCTCCCGTGCCCCGCAAACTTTTGTTGGCGACTGTACATGCCATTCCTCAGATGACGGTGGTGATCCAAGCGGCCAGACCGCATTTCGAAAAGGGTCGATCGGAAGGGCACGTACCAGGGCCGCAGCAGTAGCCGCGGATTGCGCAGCGGCCGTCAGTGCCGCAACGCTTTCCGGGGACGTGGCAGGCGACGCCGTGCAGGGCCTCGGCGCGGCAGGACAGCGTGGCCAGGGCATCGTTGAGGATGCACATGGAGCCCGCGCAGCAGACGTCGGCGCTGTAGCACACGCCCCGGCCGGCAGGACCGCATCGGGGACACTGCGAGGGAAGACGGGCGTTGTCACTCCGGAGCAGGGTGTAAGATAGACAGGTGGGGAAACGAGAGCCAAATGAGCGACCAGATTGTGTCCCCCTCGGGTTTCTCTTTTTCTGTGGCGCCATCTGTGTGGAGCACCGCGAACTCTTACTCCGGGTGGGCGACCGGTGGCGACCGGCTAAACTGACGGAGATGACTTCTCGTGGATTTTTAATGGAGAACTGTCGTGCTCTCGGTTTATTTCGTGCAGTCTCCCATAGAGTTTCACGCAAATCCGATTCGGACTTTTTTTCCTCTCGCCGCAGCGCCATCTGTTGCAAATCGGGGGTACCCGCAAGCAGACGAGTACACAATCCGGTCACGACGCTGCGGTAGGCTTCTATTGGCCGTTTCCCCACCTGTCTATCTTACACCCTGCTCCGGAGGACGTGACGAAGTCCGACCGCCAGGGTCGACCCGATAGGTCCGTCACGTAGTCACGAGAAGCACGCCACTAAAGCTGCGGTCACACTGCTTGTACATTGTACAAAAGACACGTGTTCGGTGCAGAGATAATAGGGAGTTTTAGGGAACCGTTTTTCCACGTCCGATACGGTACGATGGGTCCTCCGGCACGAACTGCGCATATGCGAGTCTTCTGTAGTAACGCATTCGCAGTTCGTGCCGCAGGACCCATCGTACCGTATCGGACGTGGAAAAACGGTTCCCTAAACCTTTCTAATAGGGAGTTTTAGGCAACCGTTTTTGCACGTCCGATATGGTACGATGAGCCCTCCGGTGCGAACTGCGCATATAGAAGTCTGCTGTGGTAGCGCATGCGCAGTTCGTACCGGAGGGCCTATCGTACCGTATCGGATGTGCAACAGCGGTTCCCTAAAACTTCCAAATGACAGAATCATCTGCGGACACGACTCAAGCATGCTCGAAGCACGTTTGCTTAATGCTTCGTGTGTTTCGGACATGTCTGCGGCCAGTTTTTATTTGACTAATGTAAGAGGATGACCGCCATACAAGGAGGAAACATGCGCCACAATCTCCAGACTGTTTATTTTTTTATTTTTTATAACGTATTAATAGCGTGACGGCGACTTTATGCATCATGTACAAAAGTACTCTCCGAGACGTGTTTCTTCTTTGTATGAAGGTCCACGCTGGTCATACAGAAGCTGTCTGCAGACGTGTTGGAATCACGTATGAAGCAATCATGCTTCTAAGAAGCTTGAGGCGTGCCCGCAGATGTACTTCTCCCATCGTGCCTGCGATGAACACCGTGTTTTGAATGCGTTAACTTTAATTCCCTGGGTGCATGCAGCCGTCTTTTGTTCAAAGTTTCCTGGTTTGGGCTGGTCTGGTTTTGTGAGACAGCAACGCGGCTCCCGCCATGCTTTTTCCCCTTCTTCGTTCTCTCGTTATACGTATACACTTTCCCTCGCTCTTAAAGCCCATACACACGTTGGCGTTCGAACGCGTTTGGGCGCGTTGCGGCGTCCTTTCGGTCAGGAGTGGTCGCCTACACTCTTAGAAAAAGGGGACCAAAAGGAGGTAACAGACCGCCTTTACCACCCTCCTCCCGGCAAGGGGGAAAAGCGCTCCGCTTGTTACCTCCTCAGGTGCAGCAGACACTAAGAATGTGGTGCTACAATGTGAAGTTCGCCGCGAAGGAGCACCAACGAGGTAAGTATTACCTCCCAGAGGGTGCACCTGTTTGGGCGCTGCCAAAGCCTGGCGCCGCGATTGGCTGTGGAAAGACGCAAACAAGTTCGCTAATCTCCTCGTATGATACGTCATTCTTCGCGCATGCGTGGGAGAGCGCTTGCCTGGTGCCGAGCCCGTTCCTCGCCAACGCTCCTCTCCGGTCATAACGGTCTTTCTTCTCGAACGTTCGACGGAGGCGTCCTAGCGCAGGAACGTTCTTTATTGTTCTGTTCGCCTCAGTCTCTTCTTACGAAGTCACCGAGAGCGCTGCATTTACTTCAGTCGAAGATCCAAGTTGTGTGCACCGTATGCAGGTAAGCAAATGTTCTTCGCGGGCGACAGTTGACGTCGGTTATGACCGCCCCAGGACGGCGACCCCCGTCTTCCTTAGACAAAGGGTTGGCGGACATGTTGGCACGTTTGAAGGCGTCGAGCGTTCGATAAAATTAGTGTGTGGCGCGAACGCTGACACGGTTTAAACTATCGAAGTTCATAAAGAGCAAGAACAGGCATGACTGTCGCTTGCACAAGAGCATATTTAGAAGGTTGACATACGCTAACCCGTGGCGTAGCCAGGAGCTCTTCCCGGTGCATGTGTGTGCGGGCGGAGGAAGGGGGAGAGCGGCGGCCCGTCGAGCCATGGAGCCGGGCGACAAGACGCCTTTTGAATCGGGGGTCGCCTACGTTTAAGGCGTGAGGGGTAGGAGGTTTTCTTTTTTGGGGGGCCGTTGGTGTGTCGTGTAAACGTTAAATTGAGGATCTGATCAAATACTTGAAAATCTCATAAGGTGGTTTTGTCTTCTTTTTTTTTTTTTTCGCAGAGCAGTAGTCGATTAGGCATTCATTGGCGACACGGGCCAACCGGCGCGATTAATTCTCAATGTCGTTGATATTTGAAAAAGTCAGTGTTAAACACTGATTTTTAATATCAAAGCTTTTTTTTTTTGTTTAACGAGGTTTAATAAATAGTTTGGTAAAATGTCACGTTACCTTGAAATACCGAATATAAATGTCTGAGCTAATTATTTGTGCGCTTCACAAACATTAATAGTAGTATATTACGGAATAATGTCATGAAGTTGTTACCGGCAGCGAGACTAGCAGAGACTTGGCATTTTCTTTGCGTGTGATCAGGCATTTCTAAAAGTCTGATCATTCAGTAGGCAAGTTGGATATGGCTCAAGTTTGCATTATTTGAAGTTGATTGAATATATTTCTTTCGTCCTGCGGCAACGTTGTAGGGTGATTTCGTCGAGGGTACTGGATGCCTGCTACCTTGGACTCATCTCGTGACAGTTCTTTACACTGTTTACTGCAGGTACGCGTAGTCCGATATTTTATTTTGATTTTCTTGTTCCCATTTGTGCACTTGAAATGGGGCTCTTGATTTTTATGTTTATTTTGTGTGTGTGCTGTTTCTTCATTTCCGAGAGAAATTTGGGGGTATACTTTGAGTAAATGAATTAGAGTAAGATACACAAGGCGCTTGAGTGTGTCTTTTTCGGTGTGTTCGTTTTCTGTGTTTTCGTCCTTGTGTGCTGTTCTTCTCATGTATAAATAAAACATACATTCAATTTTAATCTGACAGAGCACTTCGGCAAAAATATTTGCATATCTGCCGAAGTTCGGCAGTTAGGTTTGGCGGTAGTGGGAGCCTGCTGTGGTGCTGAGTAGCTAATGTGGTGTAGCGCTCTGTGGTGTATGGTCTTCCTCTGTCCTTGTCTTAAAGCACAATCATGTTTTTTCATGTACAATACCAACTCGCCCAACAATCAGCACTTGTATATACTAACCTGCTACAATAGTTGTACCCCTTTGACTAAGATTTGTTAGTCACCTAAGTGAATCGGGGTGACAAATTTAATCATGACCGGTGAATACAATGTGCTGAGACTGATCTATAATTACCACCCGTCATGTGATAATTTTAGTCAGTGGTGGCTAGTCAACAATTAAACTGGTCACGTCTGGTAAATATGGTTGATGCTTTATAATGCTTGAATCAGTGGCCCATCAAATGCTTCAAATGCGTCTCAGAAAAATCTAATATTTCTTCACAGTTTCTTTAAATTGGGGATATGTTTCAACTTCATATCACATGACTTCCACATTGTTTTGGTTCCAGGCAGGCAGTGCAATCTACCCGGTGGCTGTCAGCTTAAGCCTAATTAATCCTGAGGCGCCCAGCTATGTGGCAGTGGAGGGAGACATCGAAGTCGCGTCGCCTGCTGAGGCAGTCCTGGTTGCATACTGCCTCTATTTCATCTTTAACTACGAGTACCATCACCAGTTCAGGCGCAGATTCATTGCACTAGAGTACTAATTGATCTGAAACATTCAAATGTGGAGTCACGTGCAACACATTGCTTTTAAACCTAAAGGAAATACCAAGAAGTATTTTCTTTTTTCAATGCCTTTTTATGCAGGTTTACGAATTTTTTTCTATGTCGTTTGTTTATTGCTTTTTTTTTTGTCTGACATACGGCAGTATGATTGATTCTGAGAGTTACAGAAGGTCAATAATATTGCTTTATAGTCCCATTTTTGTAATTTCCAAAATCACAGCTTTTTGCTTTGTGCGGCCATTGGCATACTTAATTTATTTCAGTCTACTTCATACTCGGGGCCTGAAAGCATTCGAGGATTGTGGTTTCATGTTCACAGTGATTTCTGCTTGCAAGGTTTAAATACAAGATGGTTTTTGATGGCTTGCAGGGTTTAAATACATGATGCTCAAAACCGATTTTTTGCCATTCATTTGAAGTAGGTTCGATCCCTTTGGCCCTCGCGGTAGTTTGGTGCAGCTCATTTGCAGCAGGAGATACGAGCCCTTCCTTCTTTGCACATTAGAAGAGCAAATCCCGGAGTCTGCTTAACTCTACTCCAGCGTTCATTCCACTACTGTGTATAGGACGGGCATAGTGTACTGCTGTCCCTGAGTTACAACGCACTAGTCATTGCTAGTCGTGTCTTGGTTTGTATTGCTGTTTGCAATATGTGTGATACAGAATCTATGCTATATTACAGTGCGTTCATTTTGATTCTGGTTTGTACAAGACTACGTCGTTTGAGTTCACCCCGGTGAAGCTTCGCTATTCCAAGCAGTGTTCCAAGCATTCACTCTTCTTTTCCGGGTAGATAATTTTGTGATAATTTTATTGACTGTCGCGAACTAGAGCCCCGAAAGTGTTGTTCCAGATGCCTTTATTGCGCTTAGTGGTTTCATCTTGGAACTTTTGTAAGATGTCTAGTCATGTCATTGATTTTTATGCCATTTTGTTTGTGACAGCCACAATGAAACACTGTC